AACAATATGTCTCTCTCTGTCCGCAGTTCAATTACATTACATTGTTGTCGTCAGTTATTACCGGTGTTATATAAACAAGAATACCGCAAGAATAAACAAGAATATCTAGTAACCTCCCGAGACTTCAGGAAATGACAGGATCCTTCTAGAAGTTCATGACGTGTTACTGGGGTCACGTAACTTCCGCTGTCGTAACAATATCTACAGGTGTGGGAGATAAGTTAGCTAATTGGATAGAAGAATGGCTGGATGGGAAAAAAAAGTAGAGAGTTGTTATAAATGGAGTTCAGCCATACTAGATTAATGTCACAAGTGGGGTACCTCAGGGCTTAGTCTTAGGACCTTTGCTCTCTTTGATTTACATCAGTGACATAGATGAAGGAGAGGTCAATAAATTGCTTACATTTTCTGATGATGTTAAAGTATTTGGTGTTGCTAGCTGTGAGGATGCTGATGCTGCTTTACAAAAGGATTTAAATCATTTAGTGAGTTGGGTGAATAAGTGATAGATGGGTTTGAATTATAATAAATGCAAGATAATGCGTGTGGATTATCATAATCTGAATTATAAGCATAATTTGGATGGGAATAACCTTAACAGTGTCAGGAAAGAGAAGGATCTTGATGTAATGGTTGATCAGCCATCCAAGTGGTGTGCTGTTGCTAGTGGTAGGGCAAATAGGATTTTATGTATTTACAGTAAGTAGGGTAAGGAGCCCAAAAGTGAACACAATACCCCAAATGTGACCTAACCAGTGACCTATGCAGTGAAATTATAACCTCTTTAGACTTGTATTCAAAATTACTGTAAATACAATATATATAGATAAATTTTTACAAGTCTTTTAAGTGGCACCTATTATGTATCTATAAGTACATAAATCAATTTTCAATGAAAAATAATCAACTTTTAAATAGGTCATTGAAATTCGCAGTGCATCTTATAGTATATCTATATGGGTTTGGTGCAAAATACCCAGCTTATTTTGCTGTAGGCTCGTGAAACAATAATATTAATAACAATAATAATATGAACAAATTGGCAACTTTAGATTTTGTCCACAATCGTGAAATCACTTATTTTGCTTATTATCAATGTTTGGGTGATCTTAACTACTGAAAATGAAGGTTTAGAGTGTTGCTTTGTTGATCACCTCGTAAGGATTCATGGCTGCTGTTGAGGGTAAGTATGTGCCACAGCTTTTGGAAACTCGGCATAGTATCTCGAATCATAGCTGAGAGCTTCAAATTCTGTAGCATGAGTCGCTGACTAAGACTTGCGAAAGGCATTGTGGTTTCAACATCTTCAGGCTCTGGGACTAAATAAAAAATGTATAAATATATATATATATCTATGATAAAGGATGAGAAGACGTGCTAGACCCAAGACTTTACTATCTCAGTATTAAAGAGGTTCATATTCTTTAAAAATAGTAACCATATACCCACAACAACAATTTGTGATTGTATTATTTATTTTTTCCCTCTGCTACTCTGCTGCAGAGGAAATGGTGCAGGTAGAAATCTGTTAGGAAACAAGTCAAGCCAATTTGTTCTCCACTCTCCACAGCTTTATTTATTGGTGCGTTTTGACGATCTAAAACAAATATTGAGTCTGTCAAACATGCTATGCAATCCACTCTACCAATAGTTATTTGTGGTATGATGCTTGGGATCCCTTTTGTGCTTTTTGTTAGTGTTAGTAATTATGAAGCTTTAAAAATCACGTTAGTAAGGAAAGAACATGAAACAGTAACAACCACAAAAGCCAACTATTAATGAGTCAGTTTGGCAAAATGTCCGGTGTTTAAAATTCTCTATTTAGTGGCTCTTTTGTATCTCTCAATGGGATGATATTGTTTGATCATCATTGAAAATTCAGTGAAAATGTGTTGTTCTTTTTCAACACCTACCACACGAGCCTGTCCAGGATCTTTTAATATTGAGCCTAGGGGGACATTCTGATGATTTAGGGTTATTTCGATAGATCTCGATGAATGAAGTTCGGCACAACTATTAAAACGAAAAAATAAACAAACTAAATAGTAATGAAAATGCGACAAGATGAAACCTATATAATTATACTATGGTGGTAGCATATTGGGCATTATACTATTCTTCTTATGTTTTCTTTTCATTGCAGAAATAGCATTTTTATTTAAGAATCACTAGGGAAATCACCCTGTAATGCACCGTGCATCTGTTTCAACTTCAACTCTACATCTTTGGGCTTTTCTGTGCCATTAGTTTCACAAAATATTGAAACTAATGACTTCTTATATTTGATTCCAATTCCTTTTTTGAAGATAATGATACTATTGTGCCCTTTGTTTTATGTTTCGCTGTCAATGCAGTAATCAACTGACGAATCTCTGATTCAGCTGGAATGTCAAATCGATTAGGATATCTTCCAATATCTAATAAGTTCTTCCTTCATTCGACCTGACACCACAGTTTACCTTAATCGCTACGCTTAAACTATCATATTCACAACCATATATAAAACATTTCAAGTATGTTTCATAGCTACATCATTTACTTTACATTTACAAGTTATTTTTTCCATGTTGTTTCTCATGGTCTCGGTCCCAGTCACGGGTCTGGAGTCCAGCGACCTAGACCTCGAAAATGGTGCCAAATGCATTCTTTTTGTCTGATCAAAACAACTCAGACCTTACCGGAATTATTATTTTTTTATCCACATCAAGATGCCGTGCTGGATCTTATGCAGGTATTAAATTATATGCCATCAAAAAGCTTTAACCCATTTCTAGCTTCGTTTGAGAACTGAGTACGCAAAATAGGCATGCACAATATCTTAAACCCTCCCCCTCTCCTGTATGCCTGGTGTACGCACCTGTGTAAACCCCCTCCCTTGTCATGCGTACGTAATACTTGAATGATAACTAACGCTAATGAAAGAGTGTCTTAATAATATTTTTTAGATCTAAACCTAATCTCATTTACACTTTATTTCCAATTAATTGAACTGACCTTTGAAGATTTAAAACAAATTTCTCACGTTTATTTCGTATGATTTTGTCAGCCAATTTAGATTAAGAGCAAGTTGACCAACTAAGTTAGAAAAGAGTTCTGGATAAATGCCAATTCTTCATAAGGTTGATTCAAACCATATTCTTCTTTCCCATAGGAACAGGCAAAATTCACCCCTTTCAACCTAACGGTCCTCAAAGAGCCTCCAAATTCTAGTCAAAGTTACAAAGTTATTAATGTTAAGCAATATATAATTCGGTTGTGTATTTCCGCCTATCTTTGCTGAGTTATTTTATTTACTGACAAACGACTAACGCATCAATAAGACCCTGAACCGTTCCTGATTTCCCAGCTTTTCATGCTGAGTTCAAAGATAATCCTATGCAGGGGTATCCGAATATTATACATAAAAAATACTTTTGTGATAGTGTTAATGTATATTATATTTTAATGGTGTAACGTATTATATATAATTAAAAAAAAGCAAAATGAAATATACTACTTACCTTTAAAAGTCAAATGATCCAAGCTGTTTTACAGATTAGTACTATTATAAAGAGTAGTCCAAGAGTTGGCGGTGGGTGGTGATGACTAGCTGCCTTCCCTCTAGTCTTACACTGTTAAATTAGGGACAGATAGCGCAGATAGCCCTCGTGTAGCTTTGCGCGAAATTCAAAACAAACAAACAAATACTGAGTTCCACTGAAACTAACTGCGTTGATACTCTAAGATAAATAGATTGAGCACAAGTGTGTAAGAAACAATGAAACAATTTTATTTAAACGTAAAATAATAGCGCATGTGTTTATTATCTGTGATGAACAATCACATATACTGGAAAATAGGTTGATCAGACTGGCATTATTCCCACAAGATTTATTTCAGGCTGACGCGCTCACTAAACATTTTGTTCTGAACTGACTAAAACTCACGTCAGGGCGATATAATCATGCGGTGAATTATAAAATAAAACAAAGTGAAGAATTCGATATTCTTGACGGGCTTCTATATCAAGAAGATGGAGTAGTGCAATCATGTAAAAATTCGTATATGTCTATGCAGAACTACATGGCAGAATGATAAAGTTGAATGCAGCAGGAATATGGTTTCTTGGTTATTAATCAAGGCTGTTTTTTATCATTTGGCAAGTAGTCTATTTATTATTGTTACGACAGCTGAAGTCATGTGACGCTGGTAACACGTGATGAGTTTCTAGAAGGATCGGGGAACATCACGAATAATCCAGTATTTGCTAGACGCCCTCTATTTCTGTATATAAGCGCGCCAGATAAAGCGAGACAATTAATCGGAACTGGAATAGCAGACAGAGAGATTGAAGATATAGAC